TAGCTTTGTTTCTTGGCAACCATGGCCCTAGAGCAAGTATGGCTTCCTTTGTAAATCAATACATTAATGGTCTACTTTGTAAGTTAGTATCACTATGTTTGATTACCATGAGTCAGTACTCTAGGGCATACTGGTAACCCTACTAAGACACAGCCAAGAGGTCTACCCTGAGAAAGCCAGCCAGATACCTTACATTACAGGAGAAATATAGGGAGATAGGGGCCAAACTCTAAGCAAATAGAGAGGCCAAACTACAGCTATTAAGTGCATAACATAAAAACTGAACTAGAACCATAGTGGAAATATTCCTTTTAGTACCAACCTTCTTTCCTAGCTCCTATTTTAGAGGCTGATCATGATTCTTCGTACCTATCTTGGGAAATATTTATATATTAGCAGGTGCCTCTGATGTCTTAATCCAAAGGAGTGATGAGATGTGGCATCAGGTACAATGGCAAACAGGACTGTTAAAGCAGAAAGAAGGTCTGACAGATGATCTCAACTTCCATCTTGTGAGCAACTGCTTACTCTACTGCTTAAAAGTAAGCTATATTCCTGTATATCTCAAAAGAGAAGATAAAAACATATCTTCACAGTAAAAAAAAAAAAATAGGCCTTTTAAGACTTCTTTCTCAGCAGGGAGCAAAAAAGGCAATGAAACAGCCATTTTGTTGGAATTTAAGGAGGCTTACACTTGACTAGTAGGCTTGTACTTTGAGGCGTTTTGTAAATGTCCCGAGTAAACATATATGTTATGGACTTTATTGCGTCCCTCCTCAGTTCATAGGTTGAGGCCCTAAAGCCCACTGACATGGTGTTTGGAGGTGGGGTAATTAGGTAATAAGATTTTGACAGTAGGTAATTAGGTAATAAGATTTTGACAGCAGGGGTCCCCATGATGAGAGTAGTGTTCTTCTAAGAAGGAAAGAGACCAGAGTTCTCCCTCTCTGCTCTGTGTGAGGACACAGCGAGCAGGTGGCTGTCTGCCGGTCTAGGAGAGTCCTTGGCAGGGAAATGAATCTGCGGGCACTCCGATCTCGGACTTCCCAGAGGTGTGAGAAATAAATTCCTATTTTTTAAGGCACCCAGTCTACAATATTTTCTTATGGCAGCCTGAGTTGACTAATGCAATAAACATCTTTTAAATTTAAAAAAAAAAAAAGATCTATTTTCATTCCTTTAACACTCAGCTGCTACTGAAATCTACCACTGTGTTTGCATCAGTTATCCAATGATGTCACTTGAGTGACAGGCTTCAAACTGATATTCTGCCGATAAGAAAACTTGATGGAATAATAAGCTATGAAGATGGGAGTCGTTCACTGGGAAGCCAGGGAGCAAGGCCAGACCTAAGCTGGAGTGTCCACGCTCAGAAGCTGAATATAAAGCCACTGGATCAACACCAAAGGCTGGAGCTGACAGTAAGAACAAGCTGGTGTCTGCAGCCTTTCGGTCAAACCAACCATGTGAGAATGACATTGGAAGACAGCCCCGTGGTCTATTCAATCCCATATTCTATTCTCTAGTGGGAAATATGTCATTGGATAAACAGATCTGGGGATGGGTGTGTACACATGTGCTGTAGTGACAGGAACATGGATCGTTAAAGCACAATACATACAAATGCATCTTTCAGTCTAGTTAGCGGAATATCATAAGCCAATGGTGCTACTGATAAAAAACTGTGCATTAAAACATACGCTCTAGGGTTAACCCAGCAACCACAGCCAGCTCAAGTGACCATGAACTTAAATGGTCATTTTTCATTAAAAACAAAAGTAACAATTAAAAACCATGGCTGACTTAAAACAACATGGATGATGTATGTGCTAGACATAAAACCCTTCTGAATGGGGGGTTCCAATGAAAGCTTGTCTGTGGGCACACGGCAGAGCCCTGCAAACTGCCAAGTGTTTTGAGCAGAGATTTCCTACAAAGGACTTGCATTGGGGGGAGTTTGGGGTTTACCAAGAGGAGTCCACCGTGTAACTGAGAACCACTAGCTGCTGCGTGAGGGCTGGGCCTCCAGTGACCTGGATGAGCTGGACTCCTGGCCTAGTCGTCTGCCCACGGTCCACTGGGTTCTCAGGGCTCTTCCCTACTCTATTCAGTAGCTCATTGTTTTCCTGTGGTAGCTGCCTGGGGATCCCAGTGTGGTCCAGCTGTTCCATGATTCTGTCCTTGCCTCCCACCTAGGAGTGATCAGTGAGTGTTTCTGGCTATCCCATTCCTGGACTAGAGCTCTCTCATGTAGCCATTCTATAAACAGAATGTGATGATTTAGGAAATAATATTAAGAAATAAGAGACAAATTTTTGGCAGGTACATATGATGCATATGTGAGCAAAACTGTGTTTTATGCCGAGTTCTAGGTGTAATGTTTAAAATATTTAAGCATGCTAGTTTGCACTAACAGTTTTAGAAGTGTGGGCTCAACACTGGGAGGCATTCGTTCTTTAAGGATGGTGGTTATGGGCATTAATAAAGTATGCTGAGAATGTAAACCTCATGAAGATTAATATCTAAGCTATGCATTTACTTGAGGATTAAAAAGGCTGAGCAAATTTAGCAATGATAAATACAGACAGCTGTTTCCTTTAGCTATACCAGGATGCACTAGTGGTTCCTCTGTGTCTTGTGAAAGACCATTTAAGATAAATAATATATTTTACAAGTCAAAATATTTATTTTTTGCTTGTATGCAGGAACATTTAATAAGATTGAGAAGAGACAAAGAAGCTCTAACACTTGGAAATGATTAATAGGACAGTTTACAGTACGTATATCCTAAAGCCTGAACGTGGTATGCTTCCCATCATGTAGTCGAAAGGAGCAGAGCATACAAATATACTCAGAAATCCTAAGGTTATTTTCATTTCCAGAAAATCAGTAAAAGCTGTAAACAAAATAAGCTGCACTGCCAGCTGTTCACATACTCCTAACAAAAGTTTACAATTTCCTGCGAAAGAAGCATACCAGCTGCTTCAGGATGTGGGTAAGACAAGCATGTTCCTGTGGTAACGATTTCCCAAACAAGAGAAAAAGTTAAAAAGCCAAATCTTTGCTAAGCTACAGACTACTAGGTCTCCTGATTTACAAGAACAACAAAAATAGAGTAGATAGAGCTTTTTAAGAAATTAGTTAGGAATCAATATTCCATGAATCAGCAAAATCTGTCAAATAAAACGATAATTTACAATGCAAAGAAATACCGTTACTTAGCTTGATATTGTGAAAGCATTTTATCTTGTAGCATTATACTTTAGGTCGACACACTGCCTCTAGTGTATTCCACAATCAACAAAATCATCATGCACACATATCCCATAAGCTTCTACTCAATCCTTAATAAATAATAGTTCTTTTAGTAATACCAATACAGACACATTCAATTAAAATATGGTGTACATTTAGTTTCTCATATCTCATTAAAAATTTTTTTTTTCTTTATTGCTTTTAGAGAGAGAGAAAGGGAGAGGAGAAATAGAAACATCATTTGGCCACCTCCTATATGCTCCCCACTAGGGATCGGGCCCATAACCTGGGCATGTGCCCTGCCCAGGAATCGAACCGATGACCTCTTGGTGTATGGGTCGACGCTCAACCACTGAGCCACACCGGCTGGGATCTCATAATCTCATTTTCTTTCCTTGTCTTTTTTCATACTCTTATCGTCTTTCAGTGTGGACATATTAGTGCTATTTTACACTTTGCCCTATTCAGTGTCATTCATTTACTTTCTTCCTGCATCCTTTCAACAACTGTTTATAGAGTATTTACTGATTTCAACAAATGGTTGTGTCGAATTATTCATATTGCAAGTATTGCTTTTCTTGAATTTATTCAATATTTCTAAAAATAAAACGCCTCATTCTTCCTTCCATTGCTGCTGCTTTACTCAGAACTTCTATCCAATAGTTTTTTTGTGTGTGTGTTTTTTATCCTCACTTGAGGACATTTTTCCACTTTTTTTGTTCAGGTAGAGTGGGAGGGAGAGAGAGGAACAGAGAGAGAGAGAGAAATATCGACGTGAAAGGAACACATCGAGTGGCTGCCACCCGCACGACCGACCAGGGCCGGGGACAAACTGCAACCGAGGTACGTGCCCTTAGCGGGAACCGAACCCGGGTCTCTCCGGACCGCAGGCCGACGCTCTAACCGCTGAGCCAAACCGGCCAGGGCTATCCAATAGTTTTTAATCGTACGTTTCCTCCTGAAGGTGAGATGAAGTGGGTGGGGTGGGGAGTGCAGGGGGGTGAGGGAAGAGCCTGATATGCATTATTTGCATCCAACATGCAGTGCACCTGGCTAACTGTTCAATACATACTACCTTCAGTTTCACAACAACAAAGCAAGGTAGGTATATCATCACTGTCATTTCATATGGTGGAAACGGACTCTCGGCACGCGAGGGCCGTCTGCCCGCAGTCGCACGGCTAGCACGTGGCAGTGCCAGCGGTGGCCCTGGGTCTGTCTAACCCCAAAGGCTTTTCAGCAGCTCATCCTAGAAGCCCACTGGCACCCAAATACATTAAAAAATATCTTTGAATAAAATTTTGTTTGAATCTGTGCTACTCATAAAGCTCAGACCACCTCCTTTTTCATTTGCCTCCAAGAACAAGACAGTGTTTGATATATTTTCAAAGAAATACCTTTTTTATGAGGGCCTTTGAACCACAGGTAGGCAGCTCATACAAAGAAAAATATTGATGAATAGAAACATTTAAAAAATTCTGAAATCTATCTGCCCAGACAATAGATTTTGTTTGATTTTTTTTTTTAGACCACTCTTAATCTTACTGGGAGTAACAGATAATAGATTATAAGTAGTTAGGCATTTAAAAATTAGTACTTTAACACAAAATTAAACCAAGGGAAAAATGCAAACATAAAATGCTCATTTTTATTAGTAGGAATAAAGTAATATAATATCACAAATGAACGTTAACATAATGTTTATTATGTTGCATTTCCCCTAATTATTCCATATTAGTTTGTACCTTGTATTCTTCATAATCACTGTTATCTAGCAAGTCCCTTTTCTCCAGTTCTCTAAGCTGTTCTTCAGTAGGCTTAGCTGGTAGATCTTTAATAGAGGCTTGCTCATAAATAGGCTTTCCATGAAAAAACAGTTCCTTCCAATCATGCATCAATTTATAAGGAATCAGACTATAGTAAAAAAAAAAAAAAAGTTAGAGATGAATCATTGGTTAGTCAGATATACACCTAAAACCTTAGTCTTTCTATTATCATATTCAGTTCCTCAGGGTCTGCTATTTGAGATCAAGGATTCCTACTTGCTATTATATTCTTAATGGCTAATAAAATGTCTGGAACTCAGTAAGTTTGAATGAATGAATGTTACTTAAAAGGCACTGTTTCTTCAAACTTTCTAATTGACAGTGAACTAACAGAACAATATATTAAAAAATTAATTAGCACTATCCTAAAAGTTAGGTTTTTTAACTCCCAGCTGTCTTATTAAATGGTCGTGTGACTTTGGGAAGTCATTCAAATGCTCTAGCAATAGTGTCCTCCTATGCAAAAGGAACAGATGGAAAACTTTCCAAAACCCCTTTAAAGTACCAGTTGGTTTACATATTTTCATATTAATTTGTAACAGAAAAATATACTATATGGTTGCCTTATTGTCACTGAACATTTATTTGGTAGTCTTTAAAACTATTTTCAACAATTATTTCTATTTAAATCTGATGAATGACTAGAGGCAGAAATCAGACAAGACAGAGTGATGGAAAAACAGTTCCAAGATGAACGAAGTGGGCAAAGGAAGGAAAGAGACTCACAGGATTCAGTCCTCTAAAAATAGTTGGACTAGAGCTTGCAATTACAGCTACGTAACAAGTAGCATTGCATTTACTTCGTTCTAAGACATGGTACAACATGGATGAACCCTGAAACCATTAGGCTAAATGAAATAAGCCAGACACAGAAGGACAAATGTTCCATGCTTCCACTTACTCAAGTTACCTCGAACAGTTATAATTCATAGAGTTACCAGGGCTGGGAAAGGGAGGAATGGAGAATTATTGTTTAATTACTGCATAGTTGCAGTTTGGGAAGATGAAAACGTTCTGGAGGTGGATGCTGGTGATGGCAACACAACAATGTGAATATACTTAATGCCCCTGAACTGTGCACTTAAAAATATTAAAATGAAAAATTTTATGTTTTACCACAATAAAAAGTAGTATTTAAAGGTAAAACAAAATATAATCATATTATGTTTTCCATTAATCAAATTGGAAAAGAAAGGTAGAGATTTTATCAATCCAAATATTAATCAAATATTAATAGTTGTTAAAGATTCCTTTATGGAGATATGGAAGTTTAGAAATTAATAAGCTCAGGCATAGAAATAACATCAGAATTATTAAAGTGGCATTGGCTTCTATAATGAAGTAAATAAGCAACTTGTACATTGCCCAAACTTAATCTTGCAGTGACTGAATTAATAGCTTATTATCTGACTATTAATAATTTTGTTAAGAAACTGTTTTAACAAAAGTTAGTCCATGTAAATAGGCTATACCAAAAAATATACCTGGTGCTTTAAAAAATATATGCTGATAATATCTTGCTTAATGCTGAAGATAGAGAAACTAAAATGAGTTTATCTTGATTGTTAGTAACGTAAACTAATAAAATCTTAAATTACTGTATGCAGTTGCAATTAAAAGACACTTAAATTTTCATAGTAAAGCCTCCTTAAATGTTCTATGATATCAATACCTCTGGGACTCTAAAATTTTATGTATTTTTCAAATTAAAATAAAATGGTTTCAGATAGCCAACATGTTCTCTATATTAAATTCCATAAAGCAGGACTTAAGTGTAGTAAGAGGCAAACTAGTATATGCCTGTGTGAAATATTATAATAATCATACTAATATACATAGGAAGTCTCGAGCTTACTAGTAAGTTGTGCTCTATAAGTTGGTTTGTGAGTCATTTATGTGTTTCCCTTTTGCTTTGGCCACCAGGAAACTCAGCTAAATTTGTAGCTCGATTGCAGTAACTGGCAAATCTACTGCTGCCTGTATAAATCTGTTTCAATTTACTCCTTGTTCTTAACTTGCTACTTTTAGATTTTCCTTTGTTCTTACCTTGGCATATTCTTCATATTTTTTGTTTTGCTGACTATTGCCTTATAAATTGCATTAGTTATTAGTAAAATAATCTCTAAACAATTCCAATCTTCTAGGAAGTTACAAGTGTTTCAAATTATCATAGTTGTCTTAATAAATTATAGAGAATTTAGACACAACATTTTTAAAAGACATATAAATACTGTGAAATGAGGCTAGTCAACAGTGAGTTAATCAGTATCAAGGTACTCTGGACCCCACTTCTCAGACTGACTTCCATGAAACATTCTTCCCTTTTATCAACCCAGTGTCTATTTACAATCTTATTCCTTTCTCATTCTCTGCGGTGTCTCTATTGTATTGATTGTGAAAAAACAATACTTACTTGTTCGTCAACATTCGATAGTCTGCCACTTTAACAGACAAGTCAAGTATTTGATCCAAAATTTCTGCACATATTAAATAATGCTTTTGGTAACGAGCTTGAGCTCTTTCCACGGCAATCTGTTCATGAATCTCCCTCTCTCTGACGGCTTGTTCCTCAAAATCAATCTTGGCTTGTTTTGCCAAAGCCTAAGACGACAAAGACATTTTTAAGTCACCACAACTGTGCGATGATTCAAAAGAAAATCATTTCATTTCAATAACAAAAAATAAAATCTCTAAGTAGAATAAAATCTCTAAATAGAATAAAACCTCCTTTTAACACCAGGAAAAATTAAATAAGTGAAAGAGCACTTTCTCCTGAACACATTAAGTGAGTATGATGGCAAAGACGATATTGGAAATACTCCCCTCGAAGCTTATCTTATCAGCAAAATGGTACAGAGGAAAGTGGTCTGAACAGGGAAAGCTCAATGTGGACTGATGATAAACTGGATCTTAAGTGTTTTAGAAGAAGTCCTGAATTCACAGGTTGTAAATAGTCAGAGTCAGGGATCACAGAGAAACGGGCATGTCTCAGCCGGACCCCAAGCCCGTCTGGCCTCTTCGTACCTGACACACCTGCTCTGCCCAATGCCCTTGAATGCAAGAGTTCTAGAATACTGATTTCTACTTAGAAAATATTTTGGAAATCCCCTGATTATACTGACCTGAAAATATCACACATTCGCCAACAAATGTTAAATGTGCTTAGACAACAAGACCTTCTGCCTCCACAGCCTTAATACATTGATACAATTCACCCACAGAGACATGTTTCTGCAGAAAGTAGTGAACTACTCAAGCAGTTTGTCATTAACCTCTGCTCGGCTTGCACCATTATTTTGTTTAGAAAACCCTCTCGTCACACAATTACAGAGGTCAAACTTGGCATGACCAAATACTGCTTTTCCAACAGGTATACCAGCTCCTTGAGAAATTCTATCCTGTGCTAACCTGTTCTAGCAACACGACTTGCCTCCTGTAGCTTCACCCGGGAGGGCACAACGGGAGGCAGCTGTGATGGAATTCCAGCCCCAGGTTGTGTAGAAGTCAAGTACCAGCTGTGAGAACTCGCCCTGCCTCCACCTCCTCCGTGCAAAGCAGGGGTATTTAAAAGACTTGCCATGAACAGAAAAATGAACCAAACCATCTTGTCACAGCAAATAATTTTTATCATGATACTGTTCACAAATGGCTAAATATGACCATAAACTGAAATTGTCCATCGAGCCAAAGGGAAGGTTTAGTTCTTGCAGTTGTGTGTGTTGTATTGTTGTTGGGAAAGGGGTTGGCCTCAAAGGTCACTCCTGCACATTTGGCAGGTTGAGGAATTGCACCAGGATTCGTCATTGTTGGACAGGCCTTGTTTCATAAGAAAGCACGCATCTTAACTACAGAGCTTCGTGGCATGCTTCATGGAGTGTGAAGAGCTCAGGAAAGAGGAATCTGAGAGGAGCAGCAGTCAGGAGAGCAGTTTTGGAGAAAGTGACAGCAGATGGGTCATGAGCTTGGTTTACTACAGAGTGCCCATAAAGCACATGGAAATATCTAAGGTATGATAAAACCAAAACCTTGAGGGGCCAGTGGCACAGAGCAGCTTTTCCCTGGTGCACCTGCCCCCCTCCCTCCCTCCCTCCGTCCATGTCTTCCTTCTCTCTAGCTATCTATTCTACCTCCACCCACTCTGCCACCGCTGACCCTGTGCTAAACCCACCATAATGCCCCAACCCACTGCAGCACAGTGGGTTGCAGCCCTAAAATAAACGCAGGAAGGAAACGGAAGAGGAAGTCTGCAAGACACAGTCATCTCAGTGGGTGTGAGCTCGGACTCTGGAGTCTGATAGACCTGGCTTGCTCCTGGCTACACCACTGAGCAGCTGTGTGACTCTGAGCTTTCTACACTTCATTTTCCTTGTCTGTAAAATGTAGATAAGGACAGTGTCCCCTTGAAATGGCCATTGCGAGAGTTATTTATGCATGTAATGAGCATAGCTCAATGCTTGACTCAAAGCAAATGCTCAAAAAAGGTTAAATAGTAATGTGTTTGATTACTATTAAAACAATAGTAGGCACGGGAATTTGAAATCAGAAAAAGTTTAATAGACACCTAATAGTCTTAAAGAGATTAGCAGATGTAATCTAAAAACAAAGCAAAACAGACAAAAACTTCTAAATAATGGTGAAAAACACCAGTTCCTTCTCTCTCTCTCTCATTGTGCCAGATGTTGGCCTAAGCCCTGGGGAAAGAGTACTGAGCAGAAGGAAACACAGTCCCTGTCTTCACAGAGCTTTCATCCAGTGGGAGAGACAGTCAAATGGCCACACAGATCCATTATAGTTATGCACTATGATAAGTGTCACTAGGGAAAGACTGTGGACGTGAGGGCATACAACAGGCAGCCTGACCTGGACAGGGCATGTGCACGGAGCTCTGGATGGTTTTTAACAGGAAAGACACGTGGGAAGGGGGGGAACAGTAGAAGAAGTGGCTTATTCAAGGATCTGAGAGCAGACCTGTGGTCAAAGTCCAGAGATGGAGGGGAACAAATCAGGAGCAGGATCTGGTGGGAAGGAAGCCAGGGATGGGTTTTCTTTAGCATGAGGGCAGTGGTCAAATCTGAGAGTCAACAGATTGGCTGCAGAATGGAGAATGGTTTGGAGGGGATGTGAATAGGACAGACAACTTGCATGAGTTCTCTCTAATTGTCCCCTTTCTTCATTTCGAATAGTAATCGGGAGTCTTTTAAACGTCTGCATCAGGAAATGTCTGCAGGATGGAAAAGGTGAAACTGCTGGAGGAGCCCCCCACTTCGAAAGGCTAAATCCAAAGGCAAATCAATCCCGCTCCCCAGGGAACATGTAAATGACCCAAAGCCTCACAAGGGAACATGTAAGTGACCCACAGAGGCTGGAGCAGCCTCCTCAAAGTCATGTGCACGAATGGCACTGTGCAGGCTGGTGTAGCTGAGGTCTCAGTGGCAACAGACTGGGCTTGGGCCAATGACTGATGTGTTTTCCTGATGACTTGGCCCTGTGGCCTGGCCACAGTGCCTCTCCATGGGCAGAGGTGAGTTGTTGGAGTTCATCTGAGGTTGGTTTGAAAGTCCTATGTACTGTTATGTTCTTGCACACCCCAACTGTGGTTGCCAATTCATAACCACTAAAAACAGATGGAGAGCGTTTGCAGCAGGAGTAGACTGGGGTGGTGGTGTAGCCATGGAGAAAAATGGACAAGCTGAAGAGATATTTATTTAGTATGAAATCAATAGGACTTAGTGATGTTTTGGATATGGAGGAGTGAGGATCAAGCAGCCTTCAAGTGGGTCCTGAGGATTTGGACTTGTACACCCGAATACATGGCAATGCCATTTGTTGGATGATGGCACCTTGGACACAGACCAGTTTAGAGATAAAGGTCATGCATTTGGCTTTCACATGTTGAGTTTGAGGTGTATCTGAGATACATGAAGAGAGATGCCAGGAAGGCAGCTGGGCCTAGGGATGTGACAGCATTGTAACTAGCTAGTTATTGACAACAGAAAAGGAGCAGAGGGAAGGCCAGACGTGATAAACATGTCATTTGGGCAGCTTCACCAGGCAGTTGCCATTTCATATTCCCCAGAGACCAAACAAAGGGGAGATAGAGACATGCCCTGTAAGGTTGGGGAGACTAGGAAAGGTACTTGCGTGTCACACTGGGGACAGAGATGGTTGGTCAGAATGGGCGTGGCCACTGTAAGCACACAGACATTTGGGAATACATAACTTCCTAAACAAAAGAATTCGCTTTCTTATTGCTCTCTTGGGACTTTTGTTGCTTGGGGTGTGCTCTCTTGTTCCTCTTGCAGGTGATGCAATGCACAGTGGACTAATGCACTGCGGCTAGTCTAATGCTGCACTGTATTATGCAAATATGGAACAAAATCTCTGGACCCTGGCTCTCATTTTACCTCTACTGAAATCCCGGCTGTTCTTTTTCTATGATTGCACTAAGGGAAATGGGACTTTGGAGACCCAGGGTAGTAATTTCATGGAAATAACGCTTTCTACTATATCACATTCTCCCATGCAAGTCTCAGAAATTATTTTTTCTTGGGATATCACAAGAACTCCACCCACAGTAGCAACTGGGCAGATGAGGCACATTCCCCTCTGATAACAGATGGTGACCCAGATGGGACAAGAAGACCAGGATTAAAACGTGGAAAGTATCCCTTTTCTGCTCCTTCGCTGCTGCTCAGAAATCTCCCCAGCAGCCTTCAAACCTGCCCTTCCAGCCTGAATCTGGACTGCAGTGGGAAGAAAAACATACCTGGCCTGGATTCTGGTGACATAAAGCTTCCCCTCCCTAAGCTGAGGGTTTTATCACTCATTTGCCTCTCTCTCTCCTGTCTTGGTTCAGTGGATTCAGACTCAGGTTCAAACCCCTAAGCGTGAGCACGCTTCCTTGTGCCCAGTGCAGTTTCAGTAGCCTGGGCACACAGGATCCAACAGCAGAGGCTGGGAGGGGCCAGCAACCCCTCCCCCTCACTGAGGACTTGTCTTATAGCCCAGTGAGGCTCCAAGCCAAGAAACTCCCCAGGCCTCACTTCCCTACTTCCCTCCACCTCCTGTCTGCTCTCTGCATCTATCCTAACCGTGCACCTGCCTCAGCACGCTTGGATTTTGTGCGCCCTCAGAGCCTAGGGAGAGGGGTACAGGGATGCTCTTCAGCTGGAGCTACAGCCACACACAGACCCAGAGTTCCGAGTCTTGGCTCCCCAGTACTAGTTCCCCAGCCAAAGCACAGCGCAGACCTTCTGGGTCTAGTGGCCTGGACATGTATGCCAGGATGGGGTGAGGGGTGATGGGCTGGCACAGGAAGCCCGAATTCACCAACAGTAGAAGGAAAAGCTCCTGCAGGGGCACCGTCCCTGGCAAGCCAAGGACAGCTCCCTGCCTCTCTCTCCCCTGCCCATCACTGTGGGTGGGGACCACAACCATTACCACGGCAGAAAACACTGTCCTGGCAGCCTTGGTGCTTGGGGCAGAAACAGTTGTAGCCATTTTGACAGCCATGTTGCTTGGTACAAAAATTGTAACCAGTCAACTGGACTAAAAAAACTACGGCTTCTTGTCACCCACTACTAGCTACTGATACGAAATTTCTGTTATGAACAACTACTGTATATTTTAACTCATACAAATATTACTGCTTGTCATTAATGCTTCTTCTACAGATATAACTAATAGGAAAAAAGCCTCAAATGTACAGATACTCAAAGAAATAAAAGCTTTGTGACCCGATCTTAAAATTGACTGCAGAATGGACTTTAACCCCGGGCCTGGGTGCTATCTCTGTTGTTAAATTAGCAGAGAATCTAGCTCCTCTCGGTGAAAGCTGCTCACGCCGCCACACCTCTTCAGGGACTGAGGCTGTTAGGAACATGAGAGACAGCAGCAGGTTGCCAGCCCAGCTATGAGAGGCCAATAAAAAAGACTAAAAGTTGTCTACTCAGGAAAGTAAGGACTTAAAGCCTCCAGTGAGGTCAGAGACCATCAGAATCGCCCATGTGGAGTTAAGTGAGCCCAACTGAAACAGTGCCTGGCCTACAATGACTGTTGATAAAACTCCACACCTGGGCAAATCGTGTCACTATTTCGGGAAGGTCTCCGCTCCCGGTGGGAGGGGGGAGACACAAGTCTGGGTGCAGAGACGGCAGCGGTGGGGGTGGGGCTGTGAGAATCCGGGTTCTGGCAACATGACAGCAAAGCTAGGAAAAACCAAGGATTTCATAATTGTCCTCGGCTATCAGATCTCCCTCAAGAGGGAAAAAGAAAACATTTTGTTTTTTTCCTCCTTGAAGTCAATAATAAGATGGTCCCTATTCCTCAAGAGTGCTTGCCTACTCTGGTAAGAAATTTTACTCTAATTTTTTTTTTAAAAAGACTGTGTGCCTCTGAAATGCTCATACTTGGTCTCCAAAATCTCTTATCTGTGCCATCTATTAGAATACAAATTCTAAAAAATAAATCTTACCCGAGTCTAAACTAGCTAAGCCAATTAGTTTAACTCAGTTCACCTGTAATTTACTAACTCAGCGAATTTTACTATATAATACCTGTCTCCATGGAAGTATGTCTCTTAAAGTGTCAATATCTTTGCCAATAAAGAAGCCTGTATTTCTAATAATTCTGAAGTCTGTTTTCCAATCTAAGGAACACTAACGACCCACTTTTTGCTTTTTCTCTCTACCTGGCCCTTCAGAACCTGGCAACTCTTAATGAGTGAGTCACAGCAACACACTTCTTCTTTACGTAAGTCCCGCGAGACCAATTTCGGACTCTGTGATCTTATTAACTAAGACTCTGACTAGAAGAATGCTGTGTCTAAAAGAAATGCCATGCCTGGAATCTGGATGTCACCAGGAAGCCTTAATAAATTGAAACTGACACTCAAGACTAATCAAAGGCAATGAAAGCCACTGCAGAAATGGCCTGACACCTTCCTTGGTCACATAATTCATGACAGTATTTCCAGAAAAGAAACAAAAGGCTGCTTTCCGGAAAAATGACGAGCAAAAAACCTCAGGACATCTTTGGGGACCTCATGGGCTTGAGAAATTGACTCAAACCTACAAATATTGCAACGAAGCCTGCTGACAACTGCGGCTTGGCTCCTGTGCACCGAGGGGCTGACCGTAACTCAACCTCAAGATTCCTTGTACAAATTCCAGCAAAGCAAGTTTGAAGAAGTCTATTTGATCAATGACTATTCTTGTTGTATTTATACAAATAATCAAGCTAAATTAAAAGTAGACTTAGTACAGTCTTTTTAATAAAAAAGAAGAACAATCTTAGAAAAAAAATTATGTTTCAGTAAAAACCACAATGCCGAATTATAAATACTGGACTCCAGCACAGTTAACTGTCTTCAAAATTTTGTTTTTAAGACTCTGTCTGTATATGTCTTACAAAACTCAGCACCTGATGACATCACCAAAGATATTCTAACTACAGACAGTTCATCAAATTGTCACTACTTGATCTCATTCCAACCAAAGCCCTGCACCTGGAAGACTTCTCGACTGGTCGACGATTTACTGTGCGCGTTAACTTCTGTGTTGTTTCCTTCCGTTTCCACAGGAATGTATGCGCATGCCCTAATCTATCTGCTTATTCACACAACATAGGCCTCACTTTCGAAGCCATCTACCTCACGGCCTCCTAAAATAAAACTCAACAATCTGGACTTATAATTAAGTCAATAAAATATAAATAACCTATCGATTTCACTTGAAACCGCTTTCCTTTTTCGGCCCAAATGGGTCAGACAGAAAAGGTCCACAGTTTCTCATGGGGGAAATCTGAGACCATTTCCTTTAGGTCAATTTGAGCTAAATGCAGTGGATAACAAGACTGCAGACAGGTGTGACACCTGCCTCCAGAGAAGCGCCCCTCCCACTAATCTGCGACACTGTTAGATTCGTTCTCCCTCTACCACATGGGTTCTTCCCTCTCACCACACCTTTAGTTGCTATAAGTCTCCTGACTTTTGAATTGTGCCTTTTAACCGTATTGTCAAGTTTGTCATTACAAAATTACCAAGTTATCCAAAGGGCCATCCTCTAGACAGTGCTGGTGCTGCCTGCCAGAGGCAGCCAACCGACCTGGACGTGGCAAAACCCCTCTTCCCTGCGTGAAGAATCCCCTCCCCCTTTGCTCCCTCCTTCCTCTGTCAGTCGGGGGCCTCTGAGCTTTGGAATAAGCAGGACTATGCCCCTTGACAACAGAAAGCAGTTACAAGAAGACGGAGACCTTCGAACATTTATCCTTTGCAAGATTACAAAAAGGTTCCATCTCTCTAAGAAAGGAATGATGCCCAGCCGGTGTGCCTCAGTGGACTGAGCATCATCCCATGGACTGAGAATTCTCTGTTCGATTCCTGGTCAGGGCACCTGCCATAGATGTTTCTCTCTCACATCGATGTTTCTATCTCTCCCTTCCTCTCTCTCTAAAAAATCACTAAAAAACATATTTAAAAACAAAACAAAACTCTTTGCCTATCTCAAGGCTGAAAACACTAAAAAAAGAAAAAGAGAGGAATGATACCACTGCATTTAGCTAAGTATTAACAAAAGGAAAGGGAAGGACAGATGTTACAGATGTTGTCTGGGCAGCTTCAGCAGGAGGAGGGCAGAGACATAATCGCATGAGCCCATGTCTTTTGCAGTAATTATGCCCCCACAGTTGTGGAAGAGATTGTCTGAGGAAGTAACAGAGGAGAGGAGGAGGCAGCCCAGTGATAAGCTTTAAGGGCCGCAGCAGTAAATGCTTTGCTGTTACAGAAGAATGTTCCTACAAGCAGAGGAGGGCCAAGCAGGCAAAGAAACAGGAGGAAAACCAGCAGAGTATTCTCAGCAGCGCTCAACAGAAAGTGACCATGAGACCCGCAGTCCAGTCTATTCATATTAATAGTGTGAAATGCTATTGACAGCTTGTGCACATCATTAACACACTAACATTTTTAATAAATTTAAAGGCATTTCTAGGATTCTCCTGCCAAACAATAACAAAACTACAAGAACAATAAATATTAAAAAACAATTTAGAAACCTTTCTTTTCCTTCACAAAAGCAAAACAGTGGGATGATGATGTAGGGAATAAAATATATTTTGTTTATTTAGTGGATGCTACTAGAAAGAAAAGGTGACAGTGTTCCCTTGACAAATTCAACATTTATTTTTTTCATTCCTTCTTACGCGCTAGCCCCTGTTGATGGAGGAGATGACACGTTCAGTCGGAAATCAGCCCTCTCGAAGGAGACGGGCCAGGGAGGCAGGTATCTCAGCTTTAGGGAAAGGTAATCACGTGGGAAGAAGGGATGCAATTTTTTCAGGTCCTGGTCTCTGAGGCTGCAGCAGGCCCGAGGGTCCCCTCTGAAGCCAGCTCCCGCCCAGTTAAAGACACGTAATGCTTCTCATCACGGTGAGACCAGCCCTGCTATAAACACTGGGCTATCCTGCGCCTGATCGGCAGGGCTTGTGAAGCCAATGTACTTGGAAAGATTAGCTAGACATCATTTCCAGTGCAAGAAAATGGCACTCAATCTTCAACTCTAGTCAACAACAACCGGAAAAAAAGAGGAATGAAACAATTATCCAGCTAATTCCACTCCTGAAGGAGACAGCAAGACTGGCGTCCACACAGACACAGATGGGACTGGTGGTGAGCACTAACGTTTGTAGAATCAAGGCTAAAGGGGAAGAGTAAAAGATGTGGATGCTATACGTGCTGTCAGTGTAGTTGCACAAAACATGGGAGATAATACAGAGATCATAGAAAAAATTAACTCTTATTCAGGGATTGGCAGCTACATATACACAGCTCTGTTTACCTTGTCTTGAGAGAAAGAATCAAAAGTAACCTTAGAAGATTTTTAAGGGAGATATCGTTTACCGCTTCTCGATCAAGAGCATCCTGGAAATCTTTAAGTCGTCTTTCCTCATATTGCTTCTCTCGGAAAATTCTGTTTTGCCATAAAACTTCCTTTTCGTGCCGGACGTGCATGAGCTGCACCGCGATCCGGCGCTCCTGCTGGGACAGCCGCATGAGCCGGTTGATCAGCTGCTCCTCCCGGTAGGCCTCCTGCGGACACAGCGGAGGAGCCAGTTACTGTCCCGGTCACAGCCGAGCTCCCCACTGGGCTAAGAAGCCTGTACTTGACTAGTGCTTAAAAAGCATACATAGCACTCATCTGCATCAATTTCTGCCATTTGATTTGAATTTGAACATGGCAAAAATCAAGCCATAAAAATAAAAAAAATTTCCAACAAAGATTGCATACTTTTGGGTATCTAGAAGATGCATTACGGTTTTGGTACTCCCAATTATTTTATTATTTTTTATTAATTTATTTTTGTTACAGATGCTTCTCCTTTTTTCCCCATTGACACCCTCCTCCCCATCCCCTCCCACCCCGTCCACAGCTTTGTTGTCCATGTCCGTCCGTTATGCGTACATGCATGTAAGTTCTGTGGTTTATCTCTTCCTGCCCTTCCCACCACCCCCTCTTCTGAGGATTGTCAGTCTGTACCCTACTTCCATGTCTCTGGGTCTACCCTGTTCCTCAGACTGTTATGTTCATTATATTCCACAAATAAGTGAGATCATGTGATATTTGTCTTTCTCTGCTTGGATTGTTTTGCTTAGGATAATACTCTCCAGGTCCTTCCATGCCACCTCAAAGGAGGCTCAGTGGTTAGAGTGTCGGCCCACAGACCAGAGGGACTCCCTCCTTTGAAATTTGATAAAATTAAATGAGGTGATTGTTTTCAATGTTTTATAAACAAGGTTTATCATTCTCAATTTTGAGAATGTTTACAGAAATGTGGAATTGTGCTGCATGTACTCTTAACAGAAATGCTGGATGTAAAAACAGGCGCAGACACTGTCTGGCTGAAGGTGGCAGATGTGATTAGTTCCCAGTGGGGGCATCTCAATACCTCTGTGCAGAAAAGCAAAAACCTGATAGAATGGGAACACTGGGGAAGAAGAGGCTGAGGGGAAATGATCTACTGCTTATATTAGGGAAAATGTAATGGTGCAACCCGAAGAGAAACTAGATGCATTCTCTTGGCTGCTTTGGAGAATCGAAGGGAAACCAGCAAGTGAACAGTGGAAAAAATATGAAACCAGGAATCAAAGGCCCTGGTCATTGTAGTCTCGCTTTGACTGTTAATTGGCTGTGTCCTGGGGCGAGTAGCCCAGATTTTCAGGGCCTCTCTCTGGAGATGAACAATGAGGGGTTAGGTGGAAGGTGATTTCCCAAACCCTTCAAGCCCTTTCCCTCGTCTAAACAGAGACATCATGTGGAAGGGGGAGGTAATTCAAGTCCTCAAGGGGGAAACTTCACAAGAAGACCTAAGATTGGAGTTGTACATTTAACATTCAATGATCCAATCATTTAGGAAGAAGTCTGACATCATTAATGACACTGTTTCTCACCATCTCTCCCAGTATGAGATTATGGGAGAAATACTGTATACATTTTCAGAATCGAGATACAAATAACAACACTGTGGTAAATGCCAAATGAACCTGGGAATTATATAAAAATGTAGGTTAAGTAAAAGTTCAAATGAAAGTAAACATGACATTTTTTTCTGTTGAGTAACATGTATCAGGTAAAAAAATAAAACAACAAACAACTTTGAAACATATCTCGAGTTATACAATTCGAGAAGCTTTAGTGTTAATCCTCTGTTTCCTCTTGCTATCCAGGGGTGGTGGTGAGAGAACATAAAAATGGCCACAAGTTCTTCAGTTTTCTTCAATTTATCCTGCAGATATTCCCATCGAAAAGTAAAGTCTATTTCTCCACTCCTTAAATACGGACTTTGGGGTGACCACTGACTTGAACTAGCCAATGGGACATTAGCAAAAACAAACAAACAAACAAAAAACAACAAAACAAAACTTTGGGGTCTGACTTTCTTAATTCTCTCGCGACCCCTGCCACTGCCGTCACTGTTTCTGGCCTGCTAGAAAATACACCGGCCACGTGGAGAGAGGCCAGTCTTCCCAGCTGGACCTGGCGCAGCACCCCAAGTCTGCCAGCCTCAGCCAACCCACCAGCCGACCCACGACACTGAGAGAGGCCACTTGAACAGCTTGAGGACGGCACCAGTGAGCCCCCCACATTCTAAGTGGTTTGGGATACATAAGGCACAGCCACAACCATAATTTTTAAAACTATGATCCTGATTTATTATTCCAAGTGAATTCTATACTTAATATATAATATGTTCTATAATTGGCTGCATGTATAGGAAAAGGCCATTTAGTTATCAAGATGAGATATTGTCATAAGTGAGTTGACAAGATATATTTTGATTATTGCTTGGATAACAACATATTTCACTAAAATATGGGATATATCTTCTCATAGGAAGAGTTAGCTGCTCAGGGCAGTCTACAGGTGTTTATTCAACCCATAACATAGAAGAAATATTCCATATCTGAAATCAATAAAATACAATAGAAGTCACATTAAATATATATTAAAATATGTAAGAGACAGATATTTCCCATATCTAGGGAAATTTAAACAGATATACAGTCCAAAACACCCTCAGTCTGATGGCCAGGCCCTCTGGCTCTCCCATGAGCTGGAGCTAGGAGCTTACTCTGGTCCATGCCTTTGCCTAATTCTCCAAAGACTCCGAGCCGCCCTGGTGGAGGAAGGAGGCACTGCAGGAGGAACCTAAAAGCCAAGCACTCAAGGGTGCTTTAGCCAAGAAGTGGGGAAGTCTAGCGTTCAAATGCCGATTTCAAGGAAATAATACAGAAAAGGTCTGGAAAGGTGGAAACAGTTGAGATGGAGCGAATCCCAAGAACCAGCCAATATGCTCACTGATGACCCGAGAACCAGTTAGGAGCCAGATCGAGGTCACAGTCTGAATACTGCTACTTAAACGCCCATGAAGTCCTTTAAAATCACTCAGTCCTCAACTAAAGTCACTGACTGCCCTTCAGACCTGGTCCTCCCCTGGTATTTCCCCATCTCAGTTGAGATGACCCTGTGATCTAAAATGTTAGGGCCATCCTAAGTTCATTTCTCTCTTACCACTCCGAATATCCAGCTCGTAAAGAAATGGGCTATTTTGCCAACAGGTTACCTACAAAGAAACCTCCATAAGGTTATCAGCTGACTTCTCAACAGAAACACTACAAGCCAGAAGAAAATGGCATGAAGTAATCGAGGTCATGAAAAACAAAGATCTGAATCCAAGACTACTCTACCCAGCAAGGCTATTATTCAAAATAGAAGGTCAAATAACAAGCGTCCCAGTAGAAGAAATAAGAAGAAAAATATAACCACAGTAACAAATATGGTAATAAATAAGTATATATCAATAATAACCTTAAATGTAAATCGATTAAATGCTCCTATCAAAAGACACAGAGTAGCTGATTGGATAGAAAGCCTGACTCATATATATGATGTTTACAAGAGCCCCACCTCACAACAAAGACTCACATAGGTTGAAAGTGAAGGAATAGAAAAAAAGTCTTCCAAGCAAATGGAAAGAAAAAATAGAGCTGGGGTAGAAATACTCATATCCGGTAAAATAGACTTCAAAATAAAGGCCATCACTAGAGACAAAAAAGGCCACTATATATTATTGAAAGGATCTATCCAACAGTAAGATAAAACCTTGGTAAACATATATGCACCCAATATAGGAGCACCAAAATATATTTTAAAACTTCTGGAGGACTTCAAAGGAGAAATGGACAGCAATACAATAACAGCAGGGGACTTCAACACCCTGTTGACATCACTGGATAGGTCGTCTACACAAAAAAATTAACAAGAAAACAGAGACTCTAAATGATGCACTAGATCAATTGGATTTAATAGATATCCAAGGAGAATTACACCCCCAAACTGCAGAATTCACATTCTTCTCAAGTGCACATGGGACATTCTCAAAGACAGACCACGTGTTAGGACACAAACGAAGTCTCTACAAGTTCAAGGAGATTGAAATTATATATAACATCTTCTCAGATCACAATGGCATGAAACTAGAAATCAATTACAAAAAAACAAAAACAAAAACAGAGAGACATTTGAACACATGGAGGCTAAATAGCATGCTCTTAAACAATGAATGGTTTACCAAGAAGATCAAGGAAGAAATTATAAACTTCCTGGAAACCAATGAAACTGAACACACAACACAAAATCTATGGGACATAGTGAAAGCAGTCCTGAAAGGGAAGTTCATAGTACTACAGGCCTACCTCAAGAAACAAGAAAAATTTCTAATTAACTATCTAAGCTCACAACTTAATGATCTATAAAGCAAACAAAAAGAAAAACCCAAAACAAGTAGAAGGAAAGAAATAGTAAACATCAGAGCAGAAATAAATGACATAGAGACTAAAAAAAAAAAATTCAAAAGATCAATGAAACAAAGAGCTGGTTCTTTGAAAAGATAAACAAGGTTGATGAACCCTAAGCTAGACTCACCAAGAAACAAAGAGAGAGAACCCAAGTAAACAAAATCAGAAAAAAAAGAGAAGTAACTGATAACATGGAAATACAAAGGATAGTTAACAAATAGTATAAACAATTATATGCCAACAAATTGGACAATCTAGGTGAAAAGGACAAATTTCTAGAAACACAGAGTCTCCCAAAAGTGAACCCAGAAGAAATAGAAAACTTGAACAGACCAATAACAACTAAGGAAATTGAAGAGGTAATCAAGAATCTCCCAGAAAACAAAAGCCCAGGCCAAGATGGCTTCACAGGGAGTTTTATCGAACATTCAAAGAACTAACACTCATTCTCCTCAAATTATTCCAAAATATTCAAGAAGGAAGACTTCCAAATTAGTTTCATGAGGTCAGCATAATTCTGATTCCAAAACCAGATAGAGTCACTACAAAGAAAGAAAACTACAGGCCAATATCGCTGATAAACATGGATGCCAAAATCCTTAACAAAATATTAGCAAATCAAATTCAGCAATACATTAAAAAAATTATTCCCCATGACCACGTGGGATTCATCCTAGGAAGGCAAGGCTGGTACAATATTTGGAAATCAATAAATCAATAAATGTGATACACCA